TGAAAAAAAAACTTTGAAAAAAAAACTTTACACAGCACATTATATTTTATGGATATTTACCGAATATAAACAAATTACAATATATGTTAAATATAAAGAGTATAATATTTAAGCAAAATTTCCTTGATTCTTGATTATTTTATTTTATACTTATAAAATTTGGCATCAAATACCAAATTTTTGATATAATTATACCCTGAATAGGGGGACCCTGTAAAATATATTGCGTAATCTCCGATAAAATAGTCCAAATCGGATCACTATAGCATATAAGTAGCTGTCATACAAAATAAACGATCGAAATCAAATTCTTGTAAGAAATATTTTGTATTTGTGAATCGTTTAAGTTAACGTTTTTTCTTCTTTTTACAGTATTATTAATTCTAACATTATTTAAAAAACCGCTATTTTGTCGAACTCCAAATGTAGTTGATACTAATTTTAACACTTTTCTACCGCAAGAAAAGAACAGCCCTAATCGCAATCATACTTGTATTTTAATCCATATAAATACTTTATCTACTATATACTTATATTTATCTACATATTTACAAAGGCCTACGACTTTAACTGACCACTGAGTAAATAGTGAGTGTGTAGATAAATATTTGTTCTAAGTTTATTTGGGTATCAAGCAGTAGGATAATGCGAAGCGATAAGGGTAATAATGTTCAAGCACACTGCTGCTAGCTAAATGCCGTGGAATTTCAGTAAATTTCACAGTCTAAGTAAATAAACTATTTATACACATAGATACTTAAAATTTACATATTTTCTTTGGAATTGATTTCTTCGCTTTGATTGAAGTAGATAATTTCGTATCCAATAAATAGGAAATTAGAAGATATTTCGGCAATTTGTGGTAATTTCGATATTCAATGGGTGCCGCCACACATGCTATAATCTCTATTAATTATTGACAGTCCAGATTGGACTTTATCAGAAATGCTTCAGTGTGTTTTCCCTGGAAGTTGATTTTCAATATGTGTTTCGATAAGAGCGTCCGAATGTCGAAGTGTCGCCAAGGTCCGGTAAAAGCTATACTCGATTAGTTTGTCAAGTAGGATCTAAGTTTTCTTAGACGTATTAGACAACTCTGAATTTAATTTTCACTAAATGGTATACAAAAGTGTTTCAGGTAAATTTTATATATTTTTATATAATTATAAGAGATAAATGTATATAATAATATGAATTTTTTCTCTAATAATCTATTGATAACATATGACAAATTAATTTAACAATGTAAATACGAAAATGATGCCAAACTGACCCGATAAGATCAGCGCTGGCCAACAGACTCGGCGCGACCCAATGGACACCAGTTAACTTAGACAAGTTGCATGATCTTTTGCCAAGCCGGAGCGGTGCGATCAACAATGCAACAGCGCGTAATTTGATTGAGGTGAGCTAAGCTGAGTAGAATTGGTGTGCTGCGGACAGAGTTATTACATTGGCGCAGCACCTAGATGCATATACGCGTATGTTCCTCTATCAACCACTGACGCTTTTAAAGTTATACTCAGACAACCACAAAAGAGGAGGTTGGCCGTAAGGTTGGAGAGGGTCATCAGCATGCATATGTCATATAAAAGACGATTAATAATTTACATAATGTAGACAAGCAGACAGACGAGCCCCAGCCGGTGTCGGCTAGAAGACAGGTCGGCAAGTTAACAGGCAACATAACTGTTGGCTGGCAGGCTTACTTGTTGGCCAGCGAAGCAACCAGTTGGCTTGCGAGTATGACAACAGCTAGCTGGCGTGCAAGCACTTGATGAAACTAAAAGACTCATCCGTCCGTTGTAATCACAAAATGGAAATTGCAAAATAAAAATGAAAAACGGCGTTAATAAAATTTTTACTGGAGAATAAAAATATAAAAGCACATATTGTATATGTATGTATGTATACATACGGCCTATCTTTAACTAATTATAGAAAACGCGCAGGCAATTGAATTCTTGACAACAGGGTGGACCAGATAGTGGCTTCTTAATAATATGTGTTTGGTAATCAGAACTTCTTTTTTCTTGAAAGTTTGACAGAAAATTATTGTATGATCCATGGGTTCTGTTCTGACGAGGCACAAGCAAAGTTGGTGCATCTCGGAATGTGACATTCCATACGTAACTCACAATTTCTATCAATTTGGAGCGCTGCGGTAATCTAAACAAATTCTGGGGACGGTCGGGACGATCTTGGGGTTCAGACAGCATGACACAATATGCTTCGTGGTCCGTAATATAAATCATCTCTTTTGCACTTCAAATTATTTAATCGTATTACCAACCTTAGCCTTGAACATCTGAGAGCCCCAGTTAGGAAGTGGTAAATATTTTTGTTAGAGTGTCGAGTTGCACTAATATTTTGTTAACATTCCACAATTTTAAAGTAAGCAACCTATTTCTAAGATAGATCAATCAGCCAAAGGCCTAAACATGGCAGCCAAAAATTGTTTTTATCTGTTATACCTTACATGCGCAACCCTGTATATAAAGAATATGTATATGTATAAAAATTTGTAAATACATATCTATTGTTTTCAAAGCACGAAGCCAACAAGCGTTATGACAACAACACTATATTACCACCTTCCGCCTGTTAAATCAAGTGTTCACTGTTATAGTAGCTTTAGAGGTGCAGGCTAATGTCAGCTCGAGTATCATCCAGCCATCAAGTCAGAACTCATCTCAATAGCACTAGCTGATTTTTTATTAAATACATACCATACAAACAGGTGTTTGTAGTTCTTTGTGTGGCCGCAAACAGACAAACCGGAATGGCTGTTCAACATGAATCGATTTAATTCAAATAACACGTAATACTGGAAGAGAAGCTCAATAGAATCTACATTAAACTCCAAATAATCCAACAATTTAAGGACTCTGGCGCTCAACTCTGACTTCTCGCAGAATGTTCTAATAATATAATTAATTCTACACTTCCAACACATCGTCTTTGAAGTGGCTATGTTAGTGGTACCCCCAGAGAGCAAAACCGTAGCGACAAATCAGATTCACTGTTTGGACGCTGCTCGAATCACAGATTTTTTGAAACTCTTTAAATTGCTCAATCAGAAACTTTAATCCAATGGATTCAAATCTGGACTTCTAGACGGTCAATCATCTGCACCTATGAAGCCTGGAAACCGCATGCACCTGTTGAGTTTAATTTGATTTAAGCGCGTAGGTCTTGACATCGATCCAGTCGATATATCCATTTCCCTTAGCATAATTTTCATTTTTCTAAGGGGATTTCTGGGATTGCGTTCGCGAACAGTTTTTATCACAGGACAAAGTATAATTTGAAGGCCTTTGGTGATAATAATGATAATGTTATCGTATTCTAATTTATGAACGATCATTAATGATCCTTTAATGATTTAAGTTTGTGCTCTTGAGGAACTCAACGAAGATAGGAATTGGCAGTATTTCTCTAATGACAGAAATATCATCCTGATATGACTCTTTATTAAAATATAAAAAAGGGCTAGTATATATGAAAGTATTTGGTTTAAGTGCGGAAGTATGGAAGTGAGTATCTAAGTAATTAGATGCTTCAAATCACCGAAATAAGTAAGTACACAAGTATGTAAGTATACACGTAGGTACGCATATACATAAGTCGGTAATCAAATATGCAAGTAACTAAGTTTCTACATCAGCCTAAAAAGCATAAGGCATGAATTAGCTAGTCTGTCTAGTATGACTTGCGCCTGGTCAACTAACAGCCGCCTGATGGGTTAATTCACAGCCGGCTTTTGTACTTATACACACAGTTGTAAGAACATATGCATGTAAATAAAGTAAACAAGCATGAGTGCAAGCAACAAGAAAACTTGTTTCAGTGCAGTTATGAATGCCAGTCATTAATTGTAAGCGAAAAAATAGCAGACAACAAAAACAAAAAATGGGCCGATAGATAAAGAGCGGGAGAGTCTACCAACATACAAACAAACACATTTATATGTATATTGGTTTAAGTGCCCCACGGCAGGATAAGCAGAAGCGATACAACAATGAGTGGGCTAATGGAAATAGAGCTCAAAGGCGGCTGCCGGTTGCATGCAGAGGAGCACAGATAACTTCGTAGGCAAAAAAGCACATAAGCACACATGCACTTAAGTACATATGCAGGCATGCATGCATGAATGTGCACAAGTTTGTGCGTATGTGTATGCAAATATTATTAAAAAGTAATTTTAACAACAAAATATGATTAATAAAACGAGACAGTTCGGATAGTCGTTGGCTTAAGTGAATATATAATACTTACATGCGAACTTATACGCTAGTCAACAAAGTTTTGTCTCTATATGTACATACATACATACATACAGATGTGTATGCTTTGTAAGTACACCTGTTCCGAAACTTGTGTTGGACAGCTGCTTAGCTGGTAGTTGGCCGGCTGACTGGCCGACCGACCAGTTCATCAGTTAGTGATTATATGTGAGTAGTTATTTAAGTTGAATGATTGGTAGTAGGTAAGTACTCACATAAGTGTGTGTGAGTGTGTGTTTCTGTAAGTTTAAGTGTAAACGCATGGCGGTATATTAACTTACATATAATATATATCTGTAAGTAAGCAAGTAAGTTCCTATCTTTGGCTGTCTATTTCGCGTTCGGCAGCCTGTCGATTAGTTTAAGTGCCCATGGGGCAGTTAAAATTTTAGTTTTTTTGATTTTTTTTCATTCCGTTTATTGATTTTTACTTTTTCAATGTAAGTCTTCGCTTCGTGTACTCAACATCATTGGTCCGGTAGCTGGCATGCTTGGCATTTTAAAAAGTAATTTGTCATAGTTGCTTGTCATAAATTTTTCCACAAAAAAAATGCATAGGAAAATATTAGCGAAGAATGAATTATTAACTAGTGATAGAAAAAAAGCAGAGAAATGGGCGCTAAGTATAATTAGAGGTGAGCGTAGGCTAAGTGCAGGCAATAGATAGTGGCAAAGAGCAAACGGTTGGGCAATTTTTTTATATTTTTTTCTTAGTTTTCTACTTTTAAGCGTACTAATTGCAATATCTTCGGCTAAAATTTTAAGCAAGATATAAACAATTTAACAAGCTTCAATTCAACAAATGCTTGATGATCACTTAAGAAGGAATTGAAGCTATGAGGCGAACAGAATAAAGTGCAAATCGGAGTGGCTATAAGTTTGCGTGTCAAAGGATGTTTAGACGATCACAGTCCGTAATCAGCAGCGATAAAGGAGAAGACACAATATACTCAGATGGATAGGTAAGAGCAATCAATAGCCGAAATCAGAAAACGTAAGAGAACAAAAATTATATGACTATAAAACAAGTTGAACGAGTCGAATAATTATAAAATTAAATGTTTTGTCTTATATTTTTTTCACAAATAGACACATTGGCTTTTCACTTCGTGTATTAACAAAACAAATCAAAAATCACCATACACATCATATCGATCTCACCCGCATAAATCAGCAATAACGTACTCTTACATCTAAGAAATTGTACCTAAACGACTTAGCTCTTCTAATGGAACTGCTTTTTCCAACAAAATACATCCCAAAATGCAAATACCCTGTCCAATAAAAAAGTGTTCCATACAAGGACTTAAGTTTGATGGGTCAGTTTGTACGGCAGCGGTCCGATCTGACAAATTGTTTGGAGATTTCAATGTTGGACAATAATTTGGTGCCAAACTTCAATAAAGATATCTTATCAAATAAAAAAAAGGCCATACAAAGAGACAGCTATATGCTATAGTGGTCCTACATCGGCGGTTACGACAAATGAGCAGCTTCTTGAGGTGAAAAGAATGTGAGCAAAATTCCAGACCGATATTTTAAAATCAGCAGACGGGCATGACTAAATCTGCTCATTTGTTTTATTTATACTAATAAAAGTAGCCAAATGGTAACCTTTATGTCGTTATTGGCAAGAGCGAATCAGCTGAAGAAATGGTGCGAAATCGAACCGACATAATGGTATTTATAAGACACAGTCGCTTTATCATTTATTATACACAAATTAATTTCATGAAATTGGCGGAAACAAATATTATGTTTTAAAAAATATCGCTTCATTTGTGTTTTCAAGCCTTTAGCGGCCAGCTGTTTAGCCAGAAGCAGTCACTAGATCCTCTATGCTTTAGTATCTTCACACTTCATAGAAAATGCTCTATCTACATATTTATAACTGAATGAAATTTCAGCTGAACCAGAATTGGTAAATACGTTAAGCTTCCTCAGAGGGCTGATCAATCAATCATATGATTTATTATACCAACGAGCAAAATCCCAATGCCATACTACCATTATTCAGCTACTAAAGTAGGTATATGTTGTTTTAGATATTTGATCTGTTTCATATCTCTAAACGTTTGTTTGAAAGGCTTTTCACAATTCCTTTATCTGTCATTTTCGTGCGAGTTTACATACATACATAGACATGGGTAACAATAAGTCATGCAAATGTTAATTGGCCACTTAAGTTCGAACTTCATTACCTGCATTTTCATGTTCATAAATGTATGAAATTAGAAGCTTGCTTGTAGGCACTTTAACAAAAGCAAGCATAAAAAGTATACAAGTAAACCTGTAACAAAGCCAAGTTAACTGATCTCCAGTTCCACTGCTGATAATTTACTTATAACATTTGAAATTGTTTAAGCACGAGGGTGTCGTCTAGAAAACACAGTTGGGAAAAACTGACTTTATTCGTATAAAATCACATCACTGTTAACACTCGGTTGACAGTGAATTTCAAAAATGACTAAAAAAAAGTAACCTCAGAAGCTTGGATAATGAACCTCTAGGTTATGCAAGGAAAATTCGAAACTAAATACACTACAAATGAATGAAAAACACGGTTAGTTTTATTAGAAGTGTCGAAAGTCTTCATAAAATGTTTAATATGGTAAAATAAATTATCATTCAAGGGATAGGTTTTGGAGGCATTCGCTGCCTTAAAAATTAAATAATGAACTCAATACGACGAAGGATACCACCTGAGATATCAAAGTTGTTTCACAATGCTTTGTTTTACAAAACACAATATGCCATGACGTGTGTACGGTCATCAAGAAAAAGACTAAAGATCATTCAATAATGACTACAAATTAATTCTGTATTTGAACATACTTAGAATTGTACATATCACCAAAAGTTCCAATTGGATTTCAATTAATTGGTCTATTGCAAAACCCTAATAATAAAGAGAATTCTTGAATGTGTAAGTTTGCCATATGGAAAATGGCACGCCCGACGGGATCAATTTTATGCAGATTATGCTGACAAAAGTAATAGTTCGGTCGGTTGAAGTCCGCAGTGGGAAAAGTGCATGTCTATAAAACGGTCTTAATGCATCATTAGGGTCATTAAGAGAAATACAACCAAGCTCATGTTACTTGTCAATCAGAACAAATGATTAGACTGTTGAACGTCAGAGTCAAAACAGAAACACATTAACTGTTAAATAACGGAACTAGCATCACTAAGAATCCTTAGTCTAACTAACTGATCTATAGAAACTCTAACTTGGAAAACGAAAACTTGAATTGATTTATTGGCACTTCCCAGAGAAGAGCTGTTTCTCATGGTTGTGGAAATTCGACAAGCTACATATATGCCAAAAAAATTGATAACTTCAATTTGGTATGAAGTTTCCATTCACAAATTCGTTTGCAGAAATTCGAAATGTTTATTACAACCTTTTTGAATCCTTCATCACCTCCTTAAGCGGTCTAGAAAATCCTCAAATGATGGGTATCTTAGATGGATCAACAAAGCTACCGACATTAATGAAAACATCCATCTTAACTTTTTTTACTAAGTAGCCGCGATAAAGCTGATTATTTTCCCGCCCAAGCCAAAGCCACAGAGTCATTTTCCTTGACAAATTTAATACTTACGAGCATACCCACGTAGGAAAACATATAGTATTTTATAATCAGCTCATATGGATGTTCTAACAGTCTCAGCTAAACAGACAAGCTAACATCAAGACAATGCACAGATTTTCGCATACACACGATTAAAAGGTAGTCAACTTCTAGCGCGTTGCAGTTATAGACATCATCAGTCAGTTAGCCATCACAACGGTCAACTCGTTACACTTCTGTACTTATATACGTCTATATAACGACTTTAGATATTCAGTTATGCGCATATATACAGGTTAGTTATTCTAACTCGAAGTACACAAGCTGCTAATTCAGTTAGAACATTTAGAATTTGTTCGAGGAGATTGTGTAAAGAAGCAAATGACTCAGGCACACAGCGATAGAATTACGCGCGTGTAACTAATGCCCTGGTAGTTCCGGGGAGCGATTGCAGGCTCATTTAACTGTGCGCTAATGATGTGCGTTGAACGTTATTTACTTCTTTGCTCATTTTAGCAAGTCTGGAAACGTAAAAGATGGACGAAAATGTGCGCTGAGGCATAACGTAAAACCTGTGGCAACCAACCATTCAAGTGTTGAGCCACAGACACTCCGCGCTCGGTTCCGTCTGACTATGCAGGCAGACTAGTTTCCGAAAACAGCATTCAGCACAGCTTCCAGCCAGTCAGTCTATCGGTCGAAAGCATCCTCATCCGTCGTCCGGCCATTTATACACGTACTTATCTCTAACCTGCAAATATTTAGAGTTGCTTGCTACCAAAGTGTAGCGAGCGCGCGACGATGGCCTTGTTACACTACGCTGCCTTGAGTTGCCATCATCACTTAATGGAGGAATGTTCATTGAAGCCAACATCAGTTGTTGCTTCGCATGTTGTTTGCCTTTGGGTCGTTCATCTAAGCGTTCAGCAAGCTCGAATAGTCAAACTAGTGCCATAAAATTAATGACATTCGAGACGCGGCTTCCCCCATTTCGGGGCATGCTACCACATACAGTTATTTAGTTAAGTGTACAAGTTGCTATCTTTCAGCACATTTAAAAGCTACAAATTATGTGCACACACACACATGCATAACATCACAGTTAAAGCAAAGTTGTAGCAACTCTGTGCCTCGACATTAGCAGCTGCTACTTAGCGCGTCCGATTTACAGCTACGATTACTTGTATAACAACAAGTTCAATAAAATTGCTTGTAAATACATAATTTATCGCGCTCCAAGCGTTATTTTTATTTTCCTTTATTTAAACTTCTTTTCCATTTGGCAACCCTATTTAGCATTGTTGAGCTGTTAATTTGAAAATCATTATATTTTGTATCGTTTTGCGATCGACTTTCGAAGATCATTGATCATTACCACCAGTAGTAATGGTCGCCTAAATTGCGTAAGAAAATCAGCTTTAGATGGCTCTGTAATTTTAGTTAAAGACAGTGTTTAGTTACCTTCGATGAACTGTAATAAAAGCGCTCCTTAGATATTGTACCAGAGGTAAGAAGAGTGATCGAGGTAAAAAGAGCTGTAATAGTCTGTTGGTTTACACGCTATTACTGAGAAGCTATAAACTAAAGTAAACTACAAGGTTGAATAAAAAGTCTACTACCAGAACAATTCTATCACTCGAAGCTAAGATTATTGAACATACGAGAGTTTTAAAAATTAGGAGAGGGATATTAATAACGACAAAGTCGAACCCGGTTAGTGAATGACATTCGCTCTTAGTACTTGTACATCAGAAAAATGGCTTTGGCTCGGTAACCTTCAACTCAACAACAAGATGTGGGAAGACTTGTAATCAGACCTAGGGCTAAAGTAGTTCTCGCTGCGCTTCTCCAGCGTTTAGTCGATTAAACGCGGATAATCAAGGTACATAGCATACCTTATCAATGTGTTCTTCTATTGCCTTCGTCGGTTAGATAGATCGGCCATTAATTCGTAAATAAGCAATAAGCGCGAATTAGCAAAAAAACAAAAACACAGAAACAAAACATTAAACGAAAGACGGAAGAAACCAAATTTACTTCGGGTCCACCGAAGTGAATTTTTATAGCATAAAAGGGTATAAAAAGATCTTTATGTTGATCGATCAGTTTATTTATATATTTATTACTACATGTCGACCTTGCGATGCGGTTGATCTTTAAAACATTTGTGAATATGACTCTGCCGTAAAATAGAATGTATCGAGCAAGTATTAAGATAAAAATTCTAAACTGGAACCGAACCGCAGATCGAAGACTATGCCTATTAAAAAAGATAAACATAAGCGTCATGTTAAGCATCTAAAAGAAAAAAATTTGTTTGGAAGAAAGTAAACAAGTATTTTTTTAGAATATGAAGCTCGAACTGGTAAGTAGTCACAGATATCGATCGAAATGTCAGCAGTCCAATCAAAATAGAACAGTGCACAACTCCGAAAAGTCCAAAAATTCTCGAGAGGCATGCAATATTCATTTTTAACCATCGGTTTAACTCATTTGTTGTCAGATGTAGACTGATGTTATTTGACAATTAGAGAGTTCAACAAGCCTCGAGTCAAGAGGCTTTTCAAACCAAATGCCAACTTAAGGAACTTCTTTATGCCGGGAATATACCGCAAGATCTGACAGTTAACTGTTATTGCAAAATTAGTTGAGTAAGAAATGTCGACCCACAATCCATCTTGCAATCTCACACCTTAAAGCTACTTCTCTCAATAGCAAATGCTTTTGATTTTTGTAGGATAAAAATTAAAACTCTAGTTCAACTGCAGTACTCGTTTCGAAATGAAACTTTACTTTAAAGAATGGATGCTCTGGCAAGCCTCTACCCAAGAGTATAACTGGAAAGCTATTAGGGAATAATGGAGGGTTCACTATATTTTCTATCCATAGAGTTTAGTTAATTGAAGTCGAGATCCATGGTATGCGCATAAATCTTCACAAATTCCTCAAAATGTGTCTTGAAGTTGTAAGATTTATGTAGGGGATCTAGAGGATTTATGTAGCTTTATGTGTCCGTTTTTGTTTTCCCTGAGAAAGAT